CTGATTTTAGTTACCTACAGGACAGCTCTGACTGGCTGACATACATAAGCTACTGTATGTTATATAGAATTTAATTAATAATGAAAAATTAAATGTCACTCCTTTATTTCCTGCCCCATGCTACTTGATCATGCGCCCCACACTGACAGTTCATGGTACATGACTGTTTCAAAGGCTGACATGACTTTGGCCTTAATGGCATTCATTGTGAGCTTAATAAGATACGGCAGCAAAGATGAAGGTTGATAATTAAGTTCTCAGCAAAGGCTGACTGGAGAACATGCTACTTTGAAAGGGTTTGGCCCTTCTCATTGTGTAGGTTATAAGGTGTAGGGAGAACAAGGGCGACGGACAGAGATGCAGCACGTCCGAGTGACAAGAATGTCAAACCGACTGAAGGAGCAGACTGACAGAATTGCACAAATGCATAGGAATAAAATGTTCTCCCCCAAATGACGCAGTCACTCTGAGTAATAAAATTTACCACCCATCTCCTCAAGCTTCAACAAAACCTGCATGGTATTCTTGCAGTTGTGTGCTTTCAAACTTTAAAAAGATTTAAGCATTTCAAACCCCATAAAGGTGTGTTTTCATTGCAGATACAAACCCTCCGTGATGCGATATCATCGCTGATAGTACAAGCATTTATGTAGTTTTACCCATAAACATTGTCAGGTTAGGAAGTTGGCCTAGCATTGAACTGTCCAGGTTCAATCTAACTCATTGACTGTATATAAAAACTGGACAAACCCATTGTGACATCACCCACTGGATGATTTTTGAAGGGCGGTTTTGAAGCTCAAGCTGTCGCCATATTAGTAGCACTTCACTTCACCTGCCTAATCAAAAAATGGGCAAATAGGCACTTCCACATTGGCTTCATTTCTCAGCCTTGGAGCTTGCTGCTTGATCTAACCATTCAGTCTAAGTTAGCTACAGCTACAACTCTCCGTACTGCATGCTAAATATGAAGCCTAGACCAGCACCTGGTTAGTTCAGTTTAGCACAAAGACTGGAAACAGGGGGGCACAGCTAGCCTGGCTCTGTCTGAAGGTAATAAAATCTACCTACCAACACCTCTAAATCACACTAATCATGTTTCATCTTAGTTGCGGAATATGTACCAAAGCACAAATACGCAGTAATATTTTTTGGCTGGGTCCAGTTACTTCCTGAAACCTCCAATAATTACCTGGCCAACTCACAGGGTTAACGCTGCCTCCAGGAAGTCACTATGCTGAGGTGACTTTGGACAAGGCCAGGGTAGCTAAGCAAACTGGCTGCTGGTAGTAGCTTTATATTTACCAGATGAATATGAAGGTGCTTTAATTAAAAAGACATGAGGGAGGAAGAAAAAGAAGGAAAAAAAACTGGTTTGAAATGGTTTAAGGTGATGACAGAGGTCATTTTCTGCTAAACTCTTTCGCCACTGTGTTTTCACATAATTAAAAATTTGGAATCTCCCACCTGGAGAGCAAGCCTGTTGTGAGGTCACACCAATGAAGCCCAACCCTTGCGCAGCACTAGGATAAAATAGCTGTGCTAAAACTAAGCTAGGTGGCTCAAGCTACATTTCTGTAACTTTGTTAAGAAAATTAAAGATGATCCTACTGTTCTGAAACATCCAAGTGACAACAGCAGGTTCCTCTGCTTCCCATGATCACGATTTGGGATGCATCTCCCAAAACTAGTTTGGGGACAGCTGTGCACAACATTTAAATATCAATGGACAAACAAATCAGATTCACATATATAAAACCAACTGCTTAATCACCACCTTTAAAGCCTTATCGCTTGTAAAAATAAATTACAATGCTTGGAAACACCACCAGAAGAGCACAATTCTCACTTTTAAGTTGCTTCTGGCGTCTTCTTCTCCTCGTTCCGGTGCGGCAACCAGCAATTTGCTCAATACTGCCACCAGTGGTCGGGGGAAAAATACACTCAATATTTATAAAAATTAGTCACAAAGGGCCATAATGTCATCTTTTCACAGATGTTATACCAAAAAGGTGATATCAATATTCATATTTTGTGTGGTTATGTTATTTACTTATAATGTGAGATTTAGTGGCAACACTAAATGACCAAAATTACAGCGCTATTTTAAACATTTCACTACATTACTAAGATGGATGTAGTAAACAACTAAATGAAACATACAATAATTTACCTTTAAGGGTTTTTTTCTCAAACAAGGAGTTCAGTTCCACTTTCAGGCAACACCAAAAACACCACTAGGCTATACTGTGCCATTCTGTCCATCAGCAGCTTATGCAATGTCCAAGCAGAGGACCTGTAGCCTCGCCTGCTCACTCAACGTTAAGTTGCCATGAATAAAAGCATCAGCAAAGTCTAAGTGGAAAATCTGGCAGCAGGTAAGAACCACAGTGCTGGCAGCGGGTTCTCCACTTCATCGCAACAAATACAAAGCAGTGACTGATAGCAATCACAGAGCTTCATGAATTGCAAGAATACAGTAAAAAGTGGCTGTCAGTGTTTATTTCACTCCAGCTCTGCCAGTGTCAAACCTGTGCCTGTCAGTCTCTTGAAATACAGAAATTTCTTACACTCTTTAGAAATGAAAATGTCAAGAGATGTATTTAGAAACCAAGTAATGTGTATATAAAATGTCCCCTTTATCCAATTAATTCCCTCTGTGCCTTGATTTACACTCAGATCAGTCTGTATGTCTTTAGATTTGTATATTTTTGTGTGCAGTGTGTGGGCTTATCTTGTGCTGTGTTTCTAATGCTTATAGCTCACAAACTTCAATACAGTCTTACACTTCTTGCACAAAGCACAACACAAGTATGAGAGTGAATCACAGTGCCGTGTAAACATGTGACCGCCATGCAGGCCAGTGTGCTGTGCTTCACAAGATCGAACTGTCACCCAAAAACCCATTAACACCTGCAAAACCATCATTTACACCAACACATGTCCAGGGATCTTAGCTGTGTTTAAAAAAAAAAAAGAAAATTAACTGTGTTTAGCTGTTCCAAAATAACTGTTGTGTCGAATTCTGGTCCAAAATTAGTTGGAGTTCTTCCCAAACTGAAAATTAAATGTCTCTTCTCATTATACAAAGCATACTATAAAAATATGCTAATTTGCTCTGAAATCTAATCCATCACAGAATAAACATTCACATTTTCTTTAGGCATTTGTCAGTTTTCCATTAATGCTCACCCCTAGAAAAAGATCAAAACACACACCTGAATATTCAATCAAACAAGGGTGTTTACACTGTGGGTGAGGATCAGTCGCCTCTATGAAGCAACTTGTAAAGATGCACAAACTGCCACGGTGCCTTGGAGAGGTTGTTAAAAAGGAACGTGGAGGGAATAACTTTGCATTAAAAATCAGGAAAAACCGTCGACAGCCAGAAAAAGGTAATATCAGAATTTCCTGAGGCCAGTGTGAATGAAATACAGACACATGGACAAAATGTGATTCCACAGTGAGAGAGAGCCACAGAGGTACACACTCACGCTTAATCAAATATGAGCAATAAATAGCATTTAATGATCCAATCTGAACCAAAAATGTTCTCATGCCGCCCCAAAGGAACACAATATATCAGTAGGTGGTGTACAGGACTGATTGTTGATAGGGTTACTTTGTTGGTACTTTACTCTCTGGAATAAAAAATGTAAGGTGTTGGTCCAAACTTTTTAATTTTAACATTTGGTATTTTTTACAGCTGCTCTGGGGGACTTGGCTTTCACTCTATCAAATACAGTAGGCGTATACTCTTCGGCTGGCTGACCAGGTGTTTCCTCTCGTTAGATGTGTTGCCTGCGGCCATCTCTGCATTTCACATTACAAATTATTGCAGAGAGCATCAGGTTTTGAAAAATGTAACCACACTTGAGACTTGTCCACTGGCCTGGCGGTGTTGTTGCGTGGTAGTGTGATATGGTGTCATACTCTCACTCACCTAGCCTAGGTACCTGTTTCATAAACATGAATCAGTATTTACCAACACCTACGTAATTCAGTCGATGCCTTTAAAACTACAGAGTTTGATACCCAACCCTTATCACTGTTTATGCTGTTTTAAAATTTTGGATTTTGTTTGTAGTTTAGTGCTGTTCTCTTGAGAAGATGCAAAGAATGATCAGGCAATAAGTTGAGTTGTGTCCATAAAAGAGACTGTTTGGTTGTAGCAGCTTTTTGGTTAAGTGAAGAAACTTTTACAGCTGCAACAAAACAAAAAGATTCATTCTCCACCTTGGGGAAACATTGGTAGGCTCAGGGTTTGCAGAAGAAGACCATGGCAACCAGTCAAAAGCTCTTGGAATAGTAAACCGAGCTTGCACTTAGAATATTTACCATAGATTATGGTTGTTGATTAAAGAGTTGTCATTTTCCATGAACAAAAAAATCCATCATTTAGTCTGTGACAGGAAATGCCCATCACAATCCCAAGGTGATGTCTTCAAATCACTTGTTTTGTCAAATCAACAGTCCAGAGATTCGGCTTTCAGTGATATAAAAGAGAGAAAATCAGCAAACCCTCACATTAGAGAAACTGGCACCAGCAAATGTGTTTTGCTTGATAAATTGGGAAGCTCTTGTTGCAGCACAATTATTTGCAATTGTGTTTGGAACAGTGCTGCTGCAGCAGTATACTCAGTATTTTAATTGTGTAAAAGAATCTCTAAATGTGCATAAGAACTAATAAACACACTGAATATAAAGCTTTTTACTAAAAGGAAAGTGTTGATGTACTGTAAGTAACCTACTTAAGCTTTAGTTATCTTAATAATTTTTTTTACCTGTAGCATTTGCTGTACTGAAAACGTGGAAATGTTCTGTATAGTATGTGATGTTTTCCTCACCCTGAGCAGAGTAACTCTGCATGTAACGGGTTGTTTACTGCTCTGCTGCTCCAGCGATATCCAGTGTACAAGAAAGGATCTCCAAAAACACAAAAGTGAAACAAGCCAAATGTAAAAATATTATATTATTTTATTACTAAGAGAAATGTATCAGCTATTAACTGAAAGACCGGTGAACTTCTTAACATGAAAGCAGCCGAACCATAAACAAGCATCATCAGCAACATTATAATGTAACTTGGTCAAGTTCATTGTTCTGATATATGAACATCCCTTGAACTCAAACTCTATACTTCTGTCCTCCTCTCAGGCCTCAATGTTGTAGACAGAAAAGTCAGAGGCCAAGGTCGCATACAGTTCCCATGGAAACTGATTGACAGGTCTCTTGACTTTGCCTTGCTGAGCTCTACCCTCCCTGATCATCAGCTGGATGTCTTCGTCGTCCAGGATACGGATGAGGTCACCCTCGGGGTCGCGGTAGTTCAGAGCGATGTCATCCTTGTTGAAGACGTTCCTGAAAGCGAGGCAGACCGGAAGGGTATGAGTTCAGATTCTGGGTTCTTTCTGATATTCTTTACCACAAACACACAGTATATCCCCTTTTTTCCTTTGATTCATTTTAGTATATGACATCACAGCAGTCAGACTCAAGTTTAAACTAAAAAATGTCAATTCATCTTTGTTTAATCAAGCTATATATTATAATACTATATCAAGTGACATTAAAGTGACCAATAATTCTATTCTATACTATTTTATTATTATTGTGTGTACATTGGGGGGTTTACTCAGACTGTTCTTTGGGAATAAACCTGCTGTTATATATTTCCTTTATATGAAGTGGTTGCTTACTTTTGTTTACTTTAATGTTATAACCAATAGAAATATGTAAAAAGATGAAAGCAGTCCTGCACCATATTTCCACTGAAGCAAATGACTGCCCCCACATGGCTTTTGATACATTATGGTTTAATTATAATTTGGCTGTGAATATTATCACAGAGGAAACATGTGCAGCACCAAAGAAAATGGCTAATAAGTACAGACTGCACCATCTTCTCTGTTTCGCAGGAACAGACGGTAATATTTGTTTCCAGGAATTAGTAAAATGGAGATATACTGTAGGAAAAAAAACAGGCATGAAGTTACAGTTTATGGGGTTTTTTATTGGACTCCATGAGGCACAACATGATGAAGCACCAGCAGCAGCATCTCTGGAGTGTTTTTCTGCTCATATGTGCAGATGGAACACTGATATAAAGTGTGATATAATACTGAACTGTAATAATGTGTTTTAAATGTGATTAAATATGTTAATGATAATCCAAAATACACACGAGCACCAAAATCAATGAGCATAAGTTACACTGGCGTTATGCTATCTGGCACTTTATCAAATTAGCTTGTTTTATTCCATTACAGACTCATTATATTTTCACTAACTACATAATCAGGTGCATGTAGTGGAGCAACAATTACAGGAGTTACACTAGTTTTTTTTCTCACTGTTTGCCTCTTCCTCTTTCTGGTGTGATACATCGCAACTCCCCCCCCGCCCCTGAAACCCCCCACCTCCTTTTTCCTCATGAACTCCCTTCCCTTTATCAGTGCTGAGCCATATTAAAACTCAGGATGAAGGTCTCATCCATCCTACTCCAGGGCACAATAAGCCTGAACACAGAAAAACAATAATGAGCAGATAAGCGGAGGAAATGAACTGATTATGAATGGGGTGGGCTAATCATCACAGTACTCACCTATCTAAATGACCAGATAATGAGAGATAGAGGAAGAGGGTAAATGAAAGAGAAAAAGAAGAACAGATATGATGGTGTAATGAGCATATGCATCTAGCGATGGTGGTGCTGTGGGAGACAAAGGTCCCACAGGAGCCAATTTGACAGCAGTGGTGATTGACAAGTGGCAGTTTTCAGGTTTGCAGTGCATAGTAGATAAATATGGTGCCCCTCGGGGCAGAATTAATGGGCTTCTCATCCTTGTTTGTTCTGGAACCACACACAAGATCCCAAAGGAATGAAATGCTGAAAGTGGGGTCACAAAGGTGCAATCAGTACCTCTCAGTAATAATTTACCTTTAATTTGTGATTAAAACAGTGTGTTTTAAAGTCAAATCCATTAAAATGGCCTCATTAAAATAGGTCCTGCAGTTCACAAATGCCTTCCAAAGCTGAGGTCAAAGATAAGGAGTGAACAATTAGTAAATTTCACTTATTCTAGGGCACAAAGAACAAGAACTGTTAATGTGACTACGACGTAAACGTGAAGGTTAACATGTAAAAAAACAGTGCAACTGTCACATGTCCACCGACTTCGCTCCATCCTTTCCTCAACATGTCAGATCTGTATACCATTATCACATTTTAGGAAGGTGTGATTCACCCACAGGTGTGAGGTTGCATACAATTGTTTCCCAGTCAGCTCTAAATGCAATAAAAACAGGACATTAAACATACTTTTAAATGACCAGCAAACTCTTTGTTTCAGCTGGAGCAGTACAAAATAAGCAAAAAGAAATGAGCCATTTCCGTCTGCTCTGAGTTAACATCTATTTTACAAGAACAGACCTACCGCATGCGTGACAGCAGGTCCTTGTATGTTGGCTGGATGGTGAGGTCCTCTTGTACACATACATCTCTGTAAAAAGGAACAAGAATCTCCTCAAAGCATCTATATACTGTATATTTTAAATCACGCTGCTACTGTGAGGCCTGGTAGTCATTTTAAAGGTTGCATAACTGAAAAACTACAACTGTAACAGATTCAGCTGGTACTAATTGCTAATTTTACATCAAAACCAGAGCCATCTAAAAATACATGACGTCCTGTTAACTTGTTTATGTTAAATAATTACTCTTATGCACAAACACACAGTCAAAACTGTACAGACACACAGCGCCGCCCTCTTAAACAGACCTGGTTTCAACACCGGAGGGGGTGAGCAGAAAGCAGCGCAGACAGCTGTAGGTGTGGCCTCCACCTTCACCTTCTGAATCACTGTCAGGGAGAGGCTTTATGATCTTCACAAAGGATTCTGGGAAAATCCCCGTCTGATTGTTCACTGTGCCCTAAAAATTAGAGAAATTGATGAGATGACAAATGGTTAGAGTCCTAGAGGATGGCATGATGAGGCCCTGATAATGAGAGAAACAAATGAAAGCAGCATGGAGGTGTAACCAGAGACACCTTTTCTTGTCTAATTATCTTCTTCATAATATGCTGCTGATGTTAGAAGCACTCAATACAACCATACAGTCTTTTTACTACACCTCATGGGTCTGTGTGTGTTTGTCTGCATAAACACACACAGACAATTTAATAAAGCATCCAGCAAACTCACACATTTACAGCAGAACAAGAGAGCCCTCATGCACTCGATGAGTTAACGGTGGGACAGCCCCGAGACCTCACTAACTCAGCGGGAACGCGCCTCAAAGTCTGTGGGTCTGTGAGTGTGGGCACTGGGATTGGGGGTGAGGAGGTTTCTCTCCGCTTTGGTGCGCTTGAAACTTTTACCCTGATGCACCAGTCTGCCAACTGGTTTTGTCATGTTTTCCACTCACAGCCACTGTGTCAACCGCTGAATGAACAGCTTTCAGTCAACTTTTAACAAGTTCTAAGTGTTGCATTAAAAAAGAAAAAACATTCTACAAGCATAGATGCAGTGTGTGTTTTGCACCATAAACAGATTAGCAGTTTTTGCCCATTATGATTTTTGGATCTCTCTAGAAAACCAGGGGCAGGATACAGTAAGTGCATCCTCCTCCTCCATCTGGTGATTCTCACTCTCTCTCCTATCATGTCAGTTTCCACCTCTTTTCTCTCTCTCCCACTCACCCACTCCCGTCTTCTCTCTCACACTTAAATTCAACACCTCACACATTTTTATTAAACACATTTTGTGACCTTTCTTTAAGTACTGTGTGACAAAGCAGAATTTCTATGACAACTATTTAGCTGGCACCAATGTTCCACTGTTGCATTTTTCTGTTGAGCAGCTAATTAAAATGATCCACCTCCCATTTTTGGATGGCAGCGACTTACACGTGCCACTTGCAGGGCGTTATAAGGACATTTTGTTCATTAGATAAGTATAAAGGAAACTGGAGCAGGCTACCTCCATACACCAGTGAAGGTACTTTGTGGACACAGTCCTGGGATGCTGAGTAGGCCATCCCAGAACCATGGCTGTTCATCTTCATCCAAGATTCTGAGAAGGCTTTCTACAAGACTTTAGACCCTGGCTGTGGGAAATCAGCCACAAAGGCATTAGTGAGGTCGGGCACCGGGTCACACTCAGTGTTCCAGTTCATCTCACAGGTGTCGGACTGGGCTACGGGGTCTGTGTAGATCACTCAAGTTCTTATACACCAAACTGCAAACATCATTTTCTTTAAAACCCCATAACCATCCAAGTACAAGTACATACATACGGTGGGTGTCTGGATACACAGATGTGTTCCCATATTTGTCAGTGGATGCATTATAGTGGACAACTATCTTATAGAAGAAACTGGAAGGAGGTGGTCATATATTCACTTGTTCAAACTGTTATAGATTCTCCCACTGTTCCATTCTTCTAATTTCTGTTTTCCTTCTCTCTCTATTCATTTATCATCCTTCTGGTTCCCTCCATTGCTCTTTCTCCCCTCTCTCTTTTCCTCACCTTCTAAAAGATCTTTCCTTCTCTCCCCCTTTACCTGGTTCTCTCCTTCACTCCTTCCTGCTCATCACCCCCATCATTTCTCTATCTCTTATCATTTCCTTGTCTTTTCCTCTCATCACTCTCCTCATTCCTCTTGTCCACCATTCCAATCCAGATGCCTCTTTCTTCCTTTTTTTGTCTCAACTCTCTCTCTCTGCCTCTTCTACATCTTTCCCATCTCTCATTCTACACCCATATTTGGCTGCCTTCCACTCTTCCATTTCTCTGTCCCTCCTTCCCTACCTCACTCTTTCTCTTCTCCCTCCCTCTCCCACTTTCACTCTGCCTCTGTTCATACCTCCAGCCAGTCTGCGTTGACTCGTCGCAGTAGGAAGATCACCTCTCCTCTCTTCAAGTTCAGCTCCGCCTTGCCGTTGCCGCGAAAGTCAAACATCGCCTGGGACACAAGCACAGACACATACAAAGAAGAAACAACACACACGAGTGAGTGAGAGGAGAGAGGGAAGAGAGAGGAGAGAGACGGACACACTCGACAGCGAGAGAAAAGACAGTGAGAGCGGACAGGTAAGATCAGCACACTTTTTACTGAAGGACAACAACTTGTGTGTGTATTTAAGTGAGAGAAAGAAAGACAGAGAGAGAAGGGATGATGGAACAGACCTTTCTTCGAAGAAGAAAAGATTTTTGAGCACAAGAGATAAATAATTCACAAAGGAGAGAAGTTTGAAGATTTTCCAAACAGATACAAGACAGAGAAACAAATTCTCATGTCTGAGAAAATATAATTAATAAAAGTAGATAAATTTGTACTTGATTAAAGATTTAAATGAAGCAATTCTGTGTGTAGGCTATATACAACATACTGGATGTTATGTTGTACATGTTGGCACTATGTTGAATATATGTGCATCTAAGTGTATGTGAAACCATATGTATGTGTGTGGGATGAGGTAAAAAACATGTATGAGTAGTTTTCAAAAGTAATACATCCTGAGGAGATGCCCCAGTACAATGCAAGTGTGTGTCTGTTTGTGTAAGTGAGAGGACTGGATGCTCACCCGTTCTGGAATAAAAGCCAGAACTGAATTTGCATTTAAAGTAGAAGTCGGTAGAGTCATTACAGATGCTTTACTCCTATTCCTATCCTTCTGCAAAGAGACTCCTCAAACTGACAAATGACAAAGATGCATACTAAAGGTACACACACGTTGTGTTTTCATCACTTCACGGGGACATTACATTAGACTTATCCTAACTTTAATCATAAGCACTACTTTAACATTAAACCAGTCTTCTTCTATAATGTAGGGAATTATGGAGCTTGCTTTTTGTCCTCATAAGGATGCTGAGTCCCCACAATGTGACTGTGTAAACAGATTTACATCCCCATAACATGAGTGATACCAGGCCACACATGCACATACATGCACATTTGTGTTAAGACAGAAAACTAAAATGGACAAAACAATAGGGGAGTGAATTACAACCACAGCAATCACAAGAGACAGTGAAGCTAAAAGACAGCCGGAGAATGAGAGCTACAATAGGTTAGTGGGAGGGAGGTGAAAGAGATGGTGAGGAAGAGGAGGAAGAGGAGGAGGAGGAGGAGGAAGAGATACAAAAAGAAAGTTAAAGTGCGGTTATGCTCGACACACACGGTGCCAGCTGTGGCGTCAACACAGAGCCGAAACATTTATACTTGTGCTTGAGGCACGCTTCAGTCGCTGCAGTCTTTTCCTAAAAGAAAGGCGTCGCTGCTGAGAAAGACATATTCTACACCACAGGAATTGTAGCAGTAGAGAAAATCTACAGGAAATACATTCTGTAGCTAACTAGCTTGTGTCATTCCAGTCCCAGTTTATTTATGCCAGTATTCCACTGCCACCAGAAACGGTCCCGTACCTGGCTTACGTGTCTTAGAAGCAGACTGGCCCTGCACTGAAGCAAGTCCCAGAATGTGCTACCGGGCCGCCTACGTCACTACATTTTGATAAGCAGAAACCCGCCATCTTTTAAAAAAAGTTAAGAAAGAAGAAAGAGATGGCAGTGCATTACAAAGAAATAAAAGGAAGCCAGTACAACAGCTATGTTTGCCAAATGCATGTAAGCGCTGTTGTGTGCCTAATGTCATTGTCCGTTCCAATCGCACAGAAGATGTCATGACATATTCTGCAACAGCACGCTGTGTGATGTAAACACCAATGTGTATTGTAGCCAGGCAGCCTGGGCCAATAGCAATGGGACAGTTTCTGGTGGCAGTGGAATGACAGCATAACTTTTGTAATGTTAAAAACAAGTATATCAGCCACTTGGGGCAGCAAACACACAGAAGAATCATCACACTGTAACAAAAACCAATCAAACAAAAAGAGAAAGAGAGTCACCAATCTCAGAATGCTCAGCATCAACCCTTTGACTTAGATTCAGCATCTGCACGCATCCTTTTCTTTGGGTATGGGTATAGGAGAGGCGGATTCACCCATGAACAATATAGGGAGGTAGCTAGTCAATGGGATTATGGTGTTACTATAGAAATAGCCTCAAAAATTGAGTTTGATATGATAAAAATGTTCAGGGTTACACCTTTAACATGTGTGCGACTACATGTGCACATGTGTTTGTGTGTGCCAGTGCGTGTGTATATCTGTGTCCACAGAAAATGAGACAGACAGAGGCCTTTGGCAGATTAATGAAGCTGGGGAGAGAGGGAGCAGGTTGGATTAACAATCCCCTGAGATTAACCGTACACTGGTGGACACACACACATGCACGTGCCATTTTTAATGCATTCTTCCAGATGCTATTTTATTATAGTGTTGAACCGCCAATGGCTGTAATTTATATATAATAAGTTGGAGGCAATAAGATAGTGTCTCCAACACAAACCCCAAATATGATGTGACAAAGCAATTCTACCTCCTTTCATCTCTTACTCTCTCCAGTCACTGTCATTGTTCCCTCTCTTTATCCCTTTACTTTAAAGGACACATATTAATCTGACATTCACATGGGTCTCCGGTGTGTGTAGAGACACACAACACATGAGAAAAGAGCAGTCACCACCTGTTTTGCTTTTTCTGTATTTGTAAAAGCCCCCGCTCAAACACATGACCAACAGCATCTTTTATTACAGGCCGAATGTTAGAAGCAGGTTAAGTGTTCGAGCTAGTAATGTTGATAAACAGTCAGAATTTATGTGAAACTTTTTTTGCCAAATTTCCTGTGAGTAGTTTGTTGGATGGTGGTAACGTTGCTTGTTTATATAGCATCATTATAACAGCGCCGCAACAGTTGGCTCAGCTCAAGAAGAGTGAACAGGTGAGACAAGTGTGAAGAGGGAAAACATCTAAACAGGGATTGAAATGTTGCAGTGACACATTAGGCGTTAGCAATTTGCTTCAGTGTGTTAAGTTGTGGAAACAGAACAGGAGGTATGTGTCAGTGCTGCATGTTAGCGATTTCTGATTGCAAGGGGAAGGTATTTAATTGAATTTTATTTTACTCTTTATTTCCCCACCAACATCATTTTCAGTTTGGTAGGAGCTGCTTGACGCGGCGAAGTTAACATTTCCTATGACATGGCAGATTTAAGATGAGCTGCATTGATTCCCATTTTTCTCTGTTGGCAGACATTGTATGTGGCTACTGGAGTAGACTGTGTTGGAAAATGACATCCTGATAATAATCCTGCCTAAAGATCAGCCACATGTTTTATCAGCAGAGGAAGCAGCTGTCAAAGAGTTTACTCAAAGGCCCTGCATAGCCATACAGGTGTTTTTAATTATTCTGGCTTTTGAGACCTCTACTGAGATTGAAGGTGGGCACCTGATTTCTTCACCAAGAAAACAAAAAAAGGTTCAGCTTGTTGGTGCAGCATAACTAAGAGTAATGCAAGAGGCCAAAATACAAGAAATCACCTGTGTGGAACCGGGACAGATGTAGACATCTGTTCAAAGTTTTTGACACCATTACTTTATGAATTAAGGAGAAAGAGCTTGATCCTGTGACTCACCATTTTTACAACATTACAGAAAAAAACATGCAGGATTAAATCAGCAACAGAGGAAATTGAGACAGCGGCCACAGCCTGAGATCTGTAATGTGTGAAATGCAAATGTCTGTGCATAGCAATAAGATCATTCTGTCTCCTTTCACTATGTATATAAACTGTAGTTTATCCAGGCAGGTACTTGGTGTTATCGTACCTCTGTACACCAGTTAAGGGATGATCTCTAAATCTAGTCACACAGCCCTTGGGTTCAAGCAGCTGCAGGAGCAATCATCCGGTACAATTAGACTCGCACCGACCCGCCTTAATGAGCTTGTTAAACCCTCAGCTCGTTAGTCTGGCAATAGGATGGTGGAAATGAGAATTGTGTTTTTTTTCTTTCCCTGACATTTAATGAAAGTGTATTTTTTCTAAGTAGATGGCCCACTTCCTAGAATGAGTGGAGTGAAGGATCACAGGAGGATATGCATGTAGTGAATATACATATAAAAATGATCACAGGATGCAGAGATTGTGTGTATCTGTGCTTTGAGAGGGTGTCTGTCTTTAGTCTTTAAGTCTTTTTTGAGTCTTATCACTAAGGCCATCTGAAGCTGTTATGGCTAAACTGTCAGAAAACAGCTGCCTTTTTAACACATCTGGGAGACATGGAGCAACTTGAGGCAATTAGATTCTACTTTATTAACATTCATTTGGAATCATGTTTCCAGTATTAACTCCCATTCTGTTTTGGTCAAAACTGTTTTCACCACTGACCTGCTAAATGTGTCTGTCTGCCATTTGGTCCTTAGCAGGTAGTGCAGAGTGGGTTTAATGGGTTCAGAGCTACAACAACTGTCTGCTGCTGTTGGAAACATGTTGATTGGAGTAATGTGATGGAACTATACAACAGATGTGAAGTGAATCAAACAGGCTGAAAAGCTGTGCAGAGATGCAGTGCTGTGTGTGTGTGTGTGTGTGTGTGTGTGTCACTGTGACTCCCCTTTCACACTAAAGCCATTTGATTTTCTGTTTACATACATGACACTGCTGGACTTGAATCTTCATACCTCCACAGTATCAAACCTGCTAAAAGTACGGTTACATCACAACAATGGCTACAGGAGACATTTCATTCCTGAGTTGGATGATCCTACATTATTTCTTCCAGGCGAGAAGCACTAGGTGTACCTGCACATCAGCTTTTTTTTTTTCTTGGGCAGGTCTTTATCTAAAATAAGATCTAATTCTGCTTTGATGGCTCTTGCTGCAAGAGAAGAAGGACTCAGCCTCATCCGATTACAATCGGCTTGATTTCCAATTTTCTGTCTCTTTTCTATCCTTTATCTATTACTGCTTCTTTGTCTGTCTCCCTCCAGTTCTTCATATCAGACCCTCTAGCTAGCGTATTATTATTAAAAGTTCACGCTAACCAGGAGCCTGTCCCATTGACCTTGTTTGAAGCTCATTGTGCTACAGCCAATAACAATTACTCATCATGTTGTTTGGAACTAAGCCTGAGCTAATACTAAGTGGAGTAGAATGAGGTGTTGTGGCGTAAATGCTAACACTTCCACCTGCTCTACTCTGACAAACGCCTGCCCTCTCCTCTTATCCATCAGGCTCAGAGCAGCCATTGCACTGAAAAAAACACACAGCAGGACATGCACAAACACACACATACACACAGAGGAGCACTCACTTTTCCCTGAGAGAAAGAGCTAAAATAAATGTTGAGTAGGCTGGCAGCTTCGTGAGTAGAGTACACCAATGTTTTACTTCTGTGTGGGAGAGAGGGGAGGCAGAGAGATGGGGGGGAGTAAAATGGAGTTGTTTCTCTTAGTTTGGCAATAAAAGACCACTGAAGTGTGCAGAGAGAGAGAGACTGTATTGTGTGTGGTTGTTTTGAAGCTTAATGCATCTATTTCTGTGTAGTGTGAGGTTAGGAAATGTTAAACACTTTTACAAGGAGGCCACACACACACACACACACACACACTCTCTCTCTCTCTCTCTCTCTCTCTCTCTCTCTCTCTCTCTCTGTCAAACTGAAAAAAAATCCCCAGTTTACCAAGTCATTTCTGTTCATAACCAACTTCTGAAAACCTTATTTTCTGGATTAATTGATAAATCATTTGATCTATAAATCATGAAACAAAAATTTCTAAGTCCAGTTTTTGTCAAGTTGTTGCCCCAAAAAACCAAGATGTTCAGTTTACAATGATGGAAAAACAAAGAATCTCACATTTTTGACTATTTTCGCCCACAAGATGACAAAGAAATAATTGAATAATTTTCTGACTAAACAATTAATCATTTTAGTTCAAATCAACTTGTATCAACAGTTAGTTTTTAAATAAATAAAAGAATAAGGCAGAATGCCCCTGAGCCATCTTGGACTCGTCCATCACCCAAGCTGAAGTCACTGAGGTAGTCAAGAAGCTTCTCGGTGGCAAGGCACCGGGGGTGGATGAGATTCGCCCTGAGTACCTTAAGCCTCTGGATGTTGTTGGGCTGTCTTGGCTGACACGCCTCTGCAACATCGCATGGCAGTTGGGGACAGTGCCTCTGGACTGGCAGACCGGGGTGGTGGTCCCTCTTTTCAAGAAGGGGGACCAGAGGGTGTGTTCCAACTATAGGGGGATCACACTCCTCAGCCTCCCCGGGAAAGTCTATGCCAGGGTACTGGAGAGGAGAATTTGACCGTTAGTCGAACCTCGGATTCAGGAGGAACAACGCAGTTTTTGTCCTGT